TTTCTTTTTTTTCATTCTATGAAATCAATATTTTTATTTCTATTTTTATCAGTACGTTTTAAACATGTTGAGAATATAAATCAAAAATCAAAAGATAAATTTTACCTAAAGGTGATAAATATGGAATATCTTGAAAAAATTTATTAGATTCATTTAAATCAATAAATTCTTTTAATTGTTGTGCTATTTTATATTCATTTAAAAAGAATTTTGAATATGAACATTTTTTTGATATTTTTGCTACATTATATTGTAAATATTTAGTTGAAGATTTAATTTTTTTCTTTTTTGTCAATAAATAAACCATTGATGTAAAACCATTTCCTAATCTTGTTCTTATTGTATATCGATCATCAAGTAAATCATCATGAGCATCAATATCTAATGTTGTATATTCATAAAATTCATTATTCATTGTTAAAAATTTAATAAATATTTTCCATGTATCTTTATTAAAACGTAATTTTTTTGAACTTTTTGTTGTTTTTCTTGACATACCAGTAGACGATGATGTTTCAGTCATATCATTGAACATGTCTGATTCTTGGCTTTGAAAATATTCATACAAATTTGAATTATCTTTCATTTCAACATAAAAGAACTTTATGCGTTTACACTTACATAAAAAGCCATAGATCTTTCGATGTTGTTGGGCATGTAAAAGAAGTTTCAAATCCCAGGTCTATGGATACGGCTATCCGTATTTTCACCGTAAATTTGCTTCATACGACACCGTAAACGGACCGTATTTACTCGTAATCTTGGGCACAGTAAAACGGCATCGTATTCGAGGCCGTATTTCCACAGTACACGGCCGTATACGGGGCGTAATCTCATTATGATAAGGCCGTATTTCTGTGCCCGATATTACGGCCGTATACAGTCCGTTTATGTGTCGTAAGGTAACCGTAAACGGTCGTTTACGGACCGTATCATTCGACCTGGGATATTGTGATATTTGCCCAATTGCTTTTGTGTTCGTTAAAGAAACGTTTGATGCCTTTAAATCACCGACATAAACAACGAAATCTTCTAGAAACTTATGTTTTTTTTTTCAATGTCGATATTTATATTTTTATATATAAATGTACAATCGGGACGAAACTTATGTTCGAAATAACATTTAGAAGACGTATTTAAGCATTTCGGTATTGTAGAATTATTGAATCTATTGAGCAATTCAACAATTAACTCATCAAATCCTGCTTGAATTATGTTTTCACTTCCTTTCGAATTTAATGAAAATTTATTTAAGTAATATTTAACATTAGTTAATGCATTATCATTAATGCGGTCATTATCATTTAATAAAGCATGAATATTGAACGAATGCAAATGATCGGCAACATTTTTTTTTGTAATAGTAATTATGAGATAACAATAAATGATCATTTATCATTGACGATGCAGCCATTTCAAGCTGTAACTTCAATCGTTTTTTTCTTCCATTTCATGTATTCGTTGACGTTTTGTTTCTTCAGCTTGTGTTATTTGTTCAAGTTCACGTTTACGTTTTGTTTCCTCGAGTTCAAGTAATTGTTGACGTTTTGTTTCCTCGAGTTCTTAAAATCGTTGACTTTTTGTTTCTTCGATTAATTTTTGTTTTTCGAGTTCGAATTTCAGTTCTAGTTCCTTGAGAAGTAATTGTTTTTGAAATTCATTAAGAACTTTTTTGTCATCTGCATTTATAGCCATAGTTGTATAGTTTTCGTTTATTTATCTATAAAAAAGAAAAATATATTATCATGAACTGATTTTAATCGAAGAGGACAACACATGCCAGTTATCATAGTTGAGCAAGTCTTAATGCTAAAATGAGAGTAATGTGTAGATTAATTAGTATATAATTCATAAATGATGACATTTATTCATGATCATTGACTACAATAGAAATATTTGGAACGTAAGCATCAGCCGACTATTTTTCTTCTCAATAGCCAAAAACAATGAATATTATTAGATAATGAGATAATCAATGGATACAACAAGCTTTCTTAATCAATATCAAAAAGACATAAACAAATTATTAAATTTCTTATATGGAGTTTGAAATAATGTTTCGATCGATTTCTTATTACATAGGACATGCTGATATACTGATTATAATGACATTACATTAAAATAATAGATTAAAACAGCATACGTCAGTTTCTAACCAATTATATATATATTATATACTTAGTAGGAAATTTGTCGCTCATATTTTGTCTTTTTTTTTCTTTTGATCGATGGCAACTTTTAATAATAATTGTTCAATTTAAACGTTATTCGAAACAACTATCGATAGAAAATGAGCTCTTGTTTTCACAAAAAATCTATTTATTAAACAAAAAAATATTAATTTTTCTTGTTTTATTTTACTAGTCCTGCATTTTTTCTATTATCAAGAAAAGCATGAAAAGGTCAACGTCGTGACTTAACTGAAGAAGAAAATGATGAAATTAAGAGAGATTTCAATTTTTTCATAATTATAAAGATCATTAATTTGATTATTATGAAATTAAAATATAGATATTTGATTTTTGTTTTTATTTTTTTCTTGATATTTATTTTAGGTTGAACTTCGAGTATTAGGTTTTCGTGTTGATGAAAACAAAATTCAGAAAATAATGCGTAATTATGATGATCAAAGTAAAAATAAAATAAGTTAGAAAAAATTTTCATAAAATTAGTAAGTATTTCATTCAATTGATGACTATAGACTAAATAAATTATTTATTTAGCAACTCAAATAATACTTCACCGTAATTCATGTGATGCGAAATACTTAAAACATTTAATTTATTTGATGATGATGAATCAGAATATATTTCATTAAAGAGAATTGTAACGTATTGCAAAATAATTATAAGAATATGTGTATATATACTAAAACCAATGTTAATGTGAGTTCCGCATTTGAGCTATAAATAGGACTATCCTGACATGCTTTGTTTGATTCGACATGTATTCACCTCCAATGAAATCAAGATATTCTAAAAATTCTTCTAGGAACTATCAGCCAAATAAAAATACATTTTGAAATTCAAAATACGAAACCGAATCGTTCATGACTAAAATTTCTGATTTAGTATTATTTTGATTGATTTCAAGCTTTCATTTAATACATGAGTCAATCGTAATTGTTTTGATGTTTATTAAAATGAATCAGGCTTTTTCTATTTTTCATTTCAATATCGATCTTACAGGAAACATTTTTCTAAAACAAGCCGTTATAGAAATCAATTATCTAGAAGGATTATCTATAGCAAAGAAAATAGCTCAACAGATAATAATAAACGAAAACTATGCCTGAATAGATAGCTCGCAAAAGTTTAATGAAGACATGAAATTTATTTATAGTATTCTAATTCGTAACGATTGATACATAGAAATATATGATTAGCCAATGGATTCAATGTTATAGTTTATATTAGTACTTCAATAGCCTAAGAATCACTGTATGATAATATATTAGAAAAGAAGAAAGTACTACTCGACTAATGGACTAAAGATCAAATGGCTGAGTACCCAGTCGTGACTGAGTGTGGGTGTGGGTGTGGGGATGGGGGTGTGGGTGTAGGTTGGTGTGGGTGTAGGTGGGTGTGGGTGTAGGCGGGGGTGGGGGTGTGGGTGTGGGTGTAGGTGGGTGTGGGTGTAGGTGGGTGTGGGTGTCGGTGGGTGTGGGTGTAGGTGGGTGTGGGTGTAGGTAGGTGTGGGTGTAGGTGGGTGTGGGTGTAGGTGGGTGTGGGTGTAGGTGGGTGTGGGTGTAGGTGGATGTGGGTGTAGGTGGGTGTGGGTGTAGGTGGGTGTGGGTGTAGGTGGGTGTGGGTGTGGGTGTGGGCCTTGTCTTCATCTACACCCACACCCGTACGCACACCATCCACACGCACACCCACACCCACTCACTCACACCCACACCCACACCCACACCCACTCACTCACACCCACACCCACACCCACACCCATACGCACACACCACCCACACGTACACGCACACCAACACACTCACCCCCACACCCTCCACTAGTAGGATTTCAACTAAGTCGATGCCAGCTTCATCATTTTGCTGCTGCTGAGA